GGAGAGGGCAGGAGGCAGCAAGTAGTGTGAGCCACAGCCCATGACGGAAACGGAAGGCATGCACCTGCCCTCCCCTCTGATCACAACCACATAGGCTCACAGGAGATTTGTTCACCCAAAATACAGTCAAGCAGGGCTTAGCATCACCTTCCTCTTTAAGTTCACAGAACCGAAATTCCTTCTCTGAAGGTCATCAGATTCAGCCCTCTCTGGACCTATTGTTCTGGATGCCTGCCAGGGTCCCTGAGAGCTGGGGCTGACCAGCTGGCCACCGTGGGATGTCACACCCAGCAGAGACCAGGAGGTTCTCAAGGAAGACGGTAAAAGTGAAAGAAACAGGTAGTATGAGAAGCACATCAGTGTCCTCATCCCCAGTGCCACGATACAAATACCACATCACAGGGTGAGTCCAAAAGGGTGCCAGTGGGGCAGGAAGTGGCAAACATTTAGGTTTGAAAGCAACAATACCTCCAATGATTCAAGGCCACTCTAACGTGAGTATTGGGATGTTCACAGCAGGCAATCCTCATGTGGTCCCTTGTGGGAGGATCAGCCCCTCGCACGGTGGACAGGCAGAGAGGCTGACCCCAGGTGCGCAGTCTGGTAACTGAAGGTGCAAGCAAGCCGTGGGAACAAAGCTGCACCAGGTATAGGGGGTGTGATGGCCTCATCCACTGAAGAGCAACCTGCAAGGAGTCAGATGGTTAAACAGTCACTCGCTGCCCACCTGCTCCTTTCCATGTGCCCTTGAGTCTCTCTTTAGCCAGGGACTGTGCGATGACATGCGTTTCTGTTTATTATTCATTTCCAAACCTGCCACCCAATTGTGAGCTTTCACGCAGCTGCCAACGCATCTCTTTTGCAGCCGGTTTAGCTGAAGCCACTGTGTGAGGGGCCGGTGGGGCTTTGTGACTCATCAGCACCTCTAGTGACTAGGAGACCCTGGAGCAAGGGACACTCCCAGAGGAGAGAAGTAACCCAGATGTCTTGCTAGGGAAGGGGGAAAAAAAGGGACACTTGTGCTTCCAAACTTCAGTTCTTTTTCCTTTATACATGCACTCGAGATGCCACGAGACTGTACACCTGTCTCCGTTTGTAAATTGAAAACATATTTATCACTTTGTTGCTGGTTTTCTTTTTCTTTCTTTCTTTCTTTTAATGGATGGGAATTCTTCCACTTTGCCACGAGGAATGCCGAAGAAATGCATAATTCAAAATAAAAAAAGAAACTCTTTTAAAGGCTGTTTACTTGGGCGATGACAGGGGCACAAATGTTTCTTTCTCCTCACAGGGCCCACCCACAGAAAGGAGCAGAACAATGGTTCGGGGGCCTCCGGGCACTAGACAGCCCTGGAGAGGCCTCCGGGCTCCGGCCTGCGGGGCCCATTCAGCTGCCAGGGCCCTCCCACCCTCCTCCACTCCACAGCCCCGCTAATTACATGTCAGCCTGGCGACTCCAGCCCGCGGGCCGCCACCAATTACAGCCGCACTGACATCGCTCAAGCAGTCCATATGTTTACATAGTTTGGTGAGTCTCTCTTCATTTTCCAAAAAATGTGGAAAATTACTAATCTTTAGCAAAAGAGTGGCCTGACCAGGGAGAAAGGATTCGCTCGGCACATGTCTCAGGATTGAGCAAGAAGCCCAACGTTGCGCTCTTATGCTGCCCTTGCCTTGGACAAGCTTGGACAAAACCACCCCCTACACTCAGGGCAAATTCCTAAAGGCTCTTTCCATCTGCAAATTGATGGATACGTGTCAGCATCGGGCGGCTCTGCTTACAGAGGGTTGAAGTTATCCCAGCAAGTAAATAACAAAAGTTACATCATTTTCATCAACATTCATCATTCTAATTGCCTGAACCTCCACCAGAACAAAGTCACACTATAGTTTTATGGTATTTGATTAATGAGGGCAGGAAAATTGAAGTTTTTGCAATAAAACTAAAAAAAAAAAATCAACAGACTTTTATCGTTTTTTCCCTTATGATTTTAATTTAATGGCTCGTGTTTTCATTACTGCAGAGGCTGTACACTTTAGCTTGCAATTATGTCCCATCTGTGAAGCACTGTGTTATTACAGTTTATTCTAGTAGCTTTTCAATCACTTTTGAGTTGGGCTTTACAAGTATTCTTGCAGCAGGTGGGCTTCCTGGCAGAAGCCCAGGAACACACAAAGCGCAAAGCTGGAGTTTAATGGCAGCATATGCATGTGGCACAGAGCACCAGCCTTCCCCCATATGCTGCTAAGCAGGCTCTTCAGCCTGCCAGTCACTCTTCTTACTGACTACAGTCTCTAAGTAGTTTTCTGCCAGGGAAAAATATACCAAGGCAGCAAATTTCTCCAGTGCACCATCCTTATTACTGAGACAACCCTGTCATTAGCACAAGCACAATGAACCTGAACTGGGGATGCATACCAATTAGGTGGCACAGAGCACTTTTGCTTCTTATCTCTATGGAAACGTCTCCCCCCCCCCCCCCCCCCCGCCGTGTGGACAAGCAGGAATGTCCCCCACCCATATGTCACCTAGTGAACACTGTACACTGTGATGTGAACCAAAATCTGCCCTAGCCCCCGCAGCAGCGGGGAGAAAGGAGCGGAACAACAGAAGTCTCCGTACGTTTGGGAGGCCTTTAGAATTCTGGATCCTGCACAGCCATCGCTCATAGCCATGAGCAGGAAATGATGTTGAAATCTATAAATAATGTTCTCCCATTAAATCTAGCAGAGAGAGTTCAAGGAATCTAAAAGAAATTGCTTTATCCAATTAAAAAAAATGGAGACCACTCTTTTTAAAAATTATTTTTATCTTAAACAGTGTTTCACTTCTAAGAGGCTGGGACAGCTCCTGGAGCCACAGCCTCACAGCCCTTCTCCCTGGAATTTGTACTTGCCCCCCAATACAAAATAAACCTAAGGAGACAAAGATTCAAAATGTTTGTGTGCAAAGGATTGTCCCACCTGAATGCTATGAACTTTGCAAAGACATACAAGTAAAGCCTTTTGTTTTCTTTGTGGGAGAGAGAGAGAGAGAGAGAGAGAGAGAGAGAGAGAAAGAGAGAGAGAGAGAGAGAGAGAATGAAAACTAGGGAGCAACTCACTGTTTATTTCACAGCTCAATCTGTATACAAACTGAGAGATTCTGACTTCACTGGGTTGGGGTATTTTAATTTACAGTGTGAACTATCAATGGATGACACACCACAGCTTTACTTGCCCCCAAAGTCCACCGGCAGCTCTAACACAGAGTAGACCCCTGAGGGTGGCACCTGAAACTCGGTGCCCCCCGCTCCTGAACTGGCTGCCCCCTTCTTCAACTAATAGCCCATCCACATCATTGTATGAGTAAGTGGAATCCTTCTCTTCAGACTGAGTGTGCTGGACACCCTGAGTCTGATTTTCTTGCTATAGGGGTATTTTTCAACACTGTCTCTCAACTGTCACTCACCTTTCGGTCAAGAGACTCTCTGAGCTGACAGCAGCACAGCAAGAAGGATTTCACGCACTCTTTCTGTCCTGTAAGCCCAGGGGATCCCCAGTGAAGTGCACAGCTCTTTAAAGCAAAAACAGTGCAACAGCCCTGAACATACCAGGAAGCTAAATGAAGTCATATTTAAGACACACATAAAGGGTTATTTTTAAATATTAGATGCCGTGGAATAAAGTCATGCTGCTAAGAGGTGGTGACTTGGAGAGACGGAAAATGAAGAGAAGTCAGAAAAACTGACTTCTGAGCACAAAATCAACTAGGCTTTGTGTCAGGACTGGTGATGTTCCCCGGGGACTATCACTTATAGAACATTTATTTTTTATTAGACAAGCAATTCTAGATCCCTGTGAAAGTCACTGGATTCTAATGGGAATAATTTCCTCCTGCATAATGTGTCCCGGTGGGAATCGTACAACTCCTGGATTTTTGTTTTTAAGTTAAAAGACATCAAGGGAAAAGAAAACTTCTGTACAAAGAGAAAGAGCAGTTCTCAGCCAGAGCGGCCCACCTCCAGCAAAGTGGAGACAGGCAGAGGGAGGCAGAGTCCAAAGAGGTTTAAATCCAGGGCTAAGGGCTGTGGGCCTTCTCCCCAAATACAAGAGGGTCAACATTAAGAGCTGGAACTGGAAACAGGTCAATAACTTTGACCTTCCAGCTACTTCAGGGATTCTGTGGGAGATTTATATAATCATGATGAACATACATTCCCAGACCACTGGGCTACAATTCACTGTAAGAACCCAGGGAACGAAAGCAGCTTGTATTTATTTCCATTTATGACATTTTCTTCCTTCTCAAAGTAAGATCCTGTAACCTATCCTAGGTGACCCTACCCACTGCTTCTAGGACTCTGAAGGGAACAGAGAAAGCATGGGGCTACTGAGCCCCTCCCCCACCATCCTCCACATTGATTTTTCTCTTTGTTCTGAAGGATAGCTCATCACTGCCTGGACATTATAGGTTGGGGTACAACTGGAGAGACAGGAGCTCCTTCTCCTTCAGATCACAATCTGGTACCACAAACAAGGCCAGCATTTCCATCCCTTGAGAGTTCTTATACAGGTGGTATTTCCTTGTCTGTGGCCTCAGACCTCATACTTTCTAGGCAGACCAACTTAGGACACTTCTACCCACGTGACAGACACAGGCAAGGCTCTCTGGGTCCCTCAGTCAATGCACAGAGAGGGTGTCTGAGTATTGGTTGAACTGAGTCCCACTCGGGGGCAGCAGTGGTGTCAGCCAGGGTGCCCTTCAGCCTGGCCAGGGGATGAAGAAGCTACCATCTGATGGGTGGGCCCAGTCATGTGCCCACGAACAGGCATCCATTCCTGTTGGCTAGCGTTCAGTCCAGTCAGCCAAGAGACCATTCTGATTGGTCAGGACCTGAATCTCAGGGTTGTTAAACATTGTATCACTCTCTTTGGGTCCATGCTTTTCCTTCGTGGGTGCTGTGAAGGGCTGAATGGCGTGTCCCCAAAAGACAAGTGGAAAGTCTATCCCCAGTACCTCAGAATGTGACCTTATTTGGGAATAGGGCCATTGCAGATGTACCTAGTTAAGGTGAGGTCATACTAGAGTAGGTGGCCTTAATCCAATATAAAGGGAAATTTGGATACAGAGAAGAGACCTGGAGAAGATGGCCACGTGAGGGCAGAGGCAGAGATTGGAGTGATGCATCTACAAGCCAAGGAACACAAATTCCAGAAGCTGGAAGAGACAAGGAAGGATCCTCCCCCAGAACCTTCAGAGGGAGCATGGCCCTGCCAACACCTTGATCTTGCGGAACACAAATGCCAAAAGCTGGAAGAGACAAGGAAGGATCCTCCCCCTAGAACCTTCAGAGGGAGCATGGCCCTGCCGACACCTTGATCTTGAGCTTCTGGCCTTAAGCAATCCACTTTGTGGTGCTTTATTATTGTAGCCCCAAGAAACAACTACAGGTGCATATTAGATAATGACTTTCTAGGTTCATAAAATAAGAAAAGAAACTTGACGTTGCATTGAAAAAGCAGTTAGCTCTAGGTTCAAGGATCACAGAAAAATGATGAGTTCAAGGGCCCTGGAGCCTGGGAGCAGATACTTACTCTCTGACCTTCAGGTTCCTGTTCTATGAAATGGATATAATAGCAACTAACCTGTAAATTCTCTGCAAGGCTGAAATTAGTTAATCCATGTGAAAAATAACATTCAGTATACAGTAAATACTTGGTGTGTCTTAGTTATTGTATCACAATTTAATAAAATTTATTAGGGTAAACTGTCATTTTTTCTATTCTTAAAAACCATATTTAATTTGTGCTATTACTGTTCAAAGTTATTTTCCAATTCTCTTGCATTCAAATCAACACAAGGTTTCTTTTCATATATGAAATACCACCACAAACTTGTCTTGAGTGGGCAAGAAAAAACTGTTTTATAGAAGTAATATACAGCCTAGGCTCTTCTAGGCTTCTCCCAATCTCAGGTAACCTCTTCCTCCAATTCTATGTCACTCTTATCATCAATAACACTGTATTTCTTTTTTTTCTTTATTGATTAAGGTATTACATATGTGTCCTTATCCCCACATTGCCCCCCAAACTCCCCACTCATGCCCTCACCCCCCTGGTGTCTGTGTTTATTGGCTAGGCTTATATGCATGCATACAAGTCCTTTGGTTGATCTCTCCCCCTTACCCTCCACCCTCTCCTACCTTCCCTCTGAGGTTTGATGGTCTGATCAATGCTTCTCTGTCTCTGGATCTATTTTTGTTCATCAATTTATGTTGTTCATTATATTCCACATATGAGTGAGATCATGTGATATTTATCTTTCTCTGACTGGCTTATTTCACTTAGCATAATGCTCTCCAGTTCCATCCATGCTGTAGCAAATGGTAAGAATTCCTTCTTTTTTTACTGCAGCATAGTATTCCATTGTGTAGATGTACCACAGGTTTTTAATCCACTCATCTGCTGATGGGCACTTAGGCTGTTTCCAAATCTTAGCTATTGTAATTGTGCTGCTATGAACATAGGGGTGCATATATCTTTTCTGATTCGTGTTTCTAGTTTCTTGGGATATATTCCTAGAAGTGGGATCACTGGGTCAAATGGGAGTTTCATTTTTAGTTTTTTGAGGAAACTCCATACTGTTCTCCACAGTGGCTGCACCAGTCTGCATTCCC